CCACTAGAAGTTAAAAAAAAAAAATCAGAGCAGTAAATACAAACACACTCCTTCACCAATAGAAGTTTGTTTTATTAGACAAACATTTATTCAGAGCAGTAAATACAAACACACTCCTTCACCAATAGAAGTTTGTTTTATTAGACAAACATTTATGACAGCAAATAATTTCATGTTAAAGTAAAAGTATAAAAAAAACAACAAAAAATCAGGTAGTGCATCAGGGATTTAAAGAAATTTAAAGATTGTACAAGAAATACATTAACACATAATGTTTGAAATTGTCCTAATTACATTTATTTATTAAGAAACTGATCACAGTTTAAATTTTAGATAACACAATAATTACTGGCAGTTTATTAAACATTTTTCTAACATGTATACATGAAATTGTTTGTGGGTTCATTACTTTGTTGAATACAGGTTAACTAATTATTCATCAGTCACATATGAAAATTTGAAAAAGAATACTTCAATTTATCCCAGTTTAAATACAGCTGAAGTCTTCTTTGTATTGTACATAGAAAATGAATGAATTCATACAATTGTTTTGCATTTCTTTACACTGTAGGTAGGAAATAAAATTCATTACCTGTAAGCATCAATTACACTAGTTAGTGTCCTGTAAAATATTCAATTAATTGTAAATAAATAAACAAGTTTCAAGATTATTACTATTTCTTTTTATTCCAACTGTCCAAGTAATCAAAATATTTGTACTATGTTTGCTTGCTATTAAGCACAATATTATTTGTGCTCTGCCCACCATAGGTATCAAAACCAAAATTTTAGTGTTCTTATTTCAATTTATTTTTATTCATATGGTGAGAATAATTAATTAGCAAAATCCACTTACTGCCTAGCTCCAGTGACATAACAGTCAAAAACAAAATTAATTAGATGCAATGTGACTCCGTAAGTTATAATCAGCATAAAGCCAGGTCAGTAATTTGAGGGTTATACGTCTACAAGCACATGAATTTCCACAAATAAAAAGTATTTTTGAAGTGTATTAACTCCTTAAACCCGAGTGGACGCTTCCAGTATCTGGCCAAAAATCTCAATTTACCCATCAGACGGTCATAGCATAAGGTAATATATATGTGACTTTGGCTGAAAACTAATCCAAACCATGTTGTTATCCACCTTTTATAAATAGACTGGAGATTTTATAAAGTATGATGATAATTATTAGGACATCGTGAAAATAATTCTGGCAGAATGTGCAAAAAAATTATGGGTTTAAAAAGAGTTAATTCACGAAAAGTAAAAAGAATAATTCCCCTCACCTGTAACAACAAGCTTATATTTAATATCACTCTCAGCTAAAACAGGAACAACACGCTCTCTAAAAATCTGCAAAGCTCTTCCTGGCCCACTTCGTGGATTAACAAATACTAACAGATTTCTCTGAGGAGGCAGTTCTTGGATACCTTCAAAAAAGAAAAAAAAACGTTTCATATATAGTTGAGAGGCTACATTTAATTTGATTTTGAGGGTTTGTTTTTTGGTTATTTAATAGATTAGGAGAGGCCTTTAGAAGCCAAGTGGTTTTCTATCATGTTCTAGTGTAGCTCAAATACTTTAAAATTGAGACAGGTGTCATCCTACCTTATCTGTTCACCACTTAGATAAATAATGTTACCCTTATTAAAGAGTCCAAGATGATAAATAACACTAGCTCAAATGAAGTCTAATGCAAAGTTACAATTTGTGATAATAATACTGTTAAGTCTTTTTGCTTTTAGTTTTAGTTCTAAAATTTCTCTGTACAACTTTTGATGTCATGGATATGCTTTGAAAATGTGTTACTGTGACACTAGAATTTTGTAAAATACATATATGTACAACAGTGCAGGATATGCTCACCTTGAAGATCAACAATTTCACCAGATTTCAGTAACCACAACAGAGCTTTTTGCCATCTCTTAGCAACGTTCACATTTTCTTCCTCTTCTTTATGTTTGTTTATTTCCAAAGTGATAGTTTCCCTTATTCGCTGTAACTGCTTCTGAAGAAGCTTACCCCTGAAACGTAAAGGATATGAATACAAACACAGGAATATGGAACGACCTAACGAAAGAGACTCTTTTCGAGTTCGTTTCTTTTCTTTCATTATATGGCATCCCACTATGTCACTGATCTCAATGACAATCTCTTCGTGGCGATTATTTTTTGCGGGAGAAACGTGTTCCAAAACAATGTTCTTTTGAGTCAGTTTAACGTTGACGACACTGTTTGTATTATGCAATACAAACATGTCTTCTAATAAAGCAGAACTTGATGGCATTGATAAGCAAGAAGAAACATCTTCGCTTTCCAAATCTTCCATGACAAAACAAGTGAAACTATAAATCTCTGTTAATACAACTTACAAGACACACTCTGATGACTGAAAATTAATGCAACAAAGAAAAATTTAAATATATAACACAGCATGCGGAAAACTCTAATTTCTTTAAAAACAGGATACTACCTAGGCTGCTTTACCTGTTTCACTTACAGGCACATTAACTATTTCACAACAAACTAAACCATGTCGCGTGATGTAAAGAGCTGAAACCATAGATGGCGCTATTGCTACCCTGTGAGATAGCGATTTCTATTTTGTTTTTAGTTACGGGTGCGTTTATCGTTTATATTATTTTCTTCTGTTGTTTGATCAGCTTTACTTTTATTTGTCTTAAACGCTATCTCACTTGCTTCATTGTGTTTATTAAACAAGCAATTTTTATATTGAAGACACCATTACAAGGTTCCCTTCGTGGTAACGTAGGCCACTAATTAAGTTCATTTAACTGCTTGTTTGTAAGCGCATAACTCTACACACAATGGGCTATCTATACTCGAAATCCAAATTTTAGCGTCATAAATCCTCAGCCTTATCGCTGAGCCACTGGGGCAGTGTAATACAGTAAATTGAGTAATGATATTTGTTATTTATTTCTTTACAGATGAACAAGTAAATGTTTAAAAACCTTTTTTCCTTTGAAGCTAGAAAATGTTAAATAATTAGTCATTTACGAGAGCAAATAATTTCATGTTGTACAGATTAATGGCTTTATAAGCACAAATTAAGTAACAAAGAACAAACACAAATTTACAAAATATGAAGATGATTACCCCGACTAGTTTCGACGTACCACGTACGTCATTTTCAACTAAATTCAAGGGTATATGTATGTGTACAGCGACATCTTGCGAGTGTTGTTTTCTCAGTCTGATTTCTTCATACATATTTCGTTGAAAAATGTTTTTTTTAATGGATTTAGTTGAAAGCCCATATCATTGTTTATGAGTTAGTCTGCATTCTTGTGTATTTCAATAGCTTCTCTAATATTTCTTTAGGTTCTGCAATGAGTTTCGTTTCTGTGAATTTAATTATGTATACATGATTTGGTATACATGAGCGGCGACAACTGATTTTCTTATTTCCACCCGACATCAATGATCTTCATGTTCTTTTATCCTTACGTTTAAAGACCGTTTAGTTTGACCTATGTATACTTTGTTGCATGAGCATTGGATCGAATACATTCCTTGTTTATGGAAATTATTGATGGGGTCTTTCCTTTTATTTAGTTTACTTGAACGTTTTCCAATAGGTTTGAAGGTTGGTTTGATTTAGTTGTACCTATTTTATTTGAGATTTCCGGGCAATATGGTAAACATATTCATTCTGTTTTTTTCCAAATTATTTCCTTGGCTTTGTTTATAAAAATTTTATTTATTTTGTAGAACAACCTGATGGTTAAATTGTTATGAAATACTCGTGATACAGCAACATTTTTATGTGGTTGATTTCTTGTTCGATTCCTTTTTAGTTTGAGCAGTTATTAAGCGTACGCCAACTTAATATTTTGTAAACACCAATTTGTTGATTGCATGCATGGTTTGATCTTTTCTGGGGGAATAGATTAACACTATTTGGTTTTCGATAAACTTCTGTTTCAGTTGTGTCATCGGAATTTGTTGTGATTAAAACATCCAGAAAGGCGATTTTATTATCACTTTCGGCTTCATAAGTATGGAAGAATCAGTGGAATTCAATAAGTCATGAAATTTCCTTAACCAGCGTGTGTAGAAATACGGTTTTAGTAGTACTTAGTTGAACAATATTTTTTCAAAGTCATCCATGATAATGCTATAGATGAGAGTTGTATACGTGATGTTGAACGCGCTCAACACTTTCTGTACTGGACAGGTTATAAAAATGATATTCAATTTTTTCCACGAGCAATTCATTCCTCGTGGAAGTGGGTGCTTTTCCTTTGGTCAGTAGTTCAAAATTAGGGATACCCACATTTGAACCCTAGGGGTCTCTGACCTAGTCATTTAGCCCACGTGTGCATAAGGTGCCACTCAGGTTGAACATTTAGGTTTCAACCGTCTTTGAATTATGTAACAATCTAAAACTTAGTTTAATTATATATGATATAAAGGAATGTGGTAATATTCACTATACAAGCCATGGTGGTAATGGAGATCTTGGTGAATTATAAATAATAACAAATACAACAAAAGTAGATCTTATCATTAAAACTGTTTCCCATAGTTTTTTTTAAGCGTAAACCTTTTCTACGTCAGAAGTGACGTAGTATTTTCTCTTCATCTGAAGTTGAATTAGTAAAATTCAACACCTTATGTAGTTTATATATCTGGATTAAAACAGAACAAGATCAAATGACGAAATACATCCATTCGTCTTTTTTAAATATTATTTAAAAATAAAAAAAGACAGATGAGAAATCAATGATACAAAATTTAATTATTCTACTGTATTTTTCAACATTATTGTCTTCAATCATTCTCACGAAATTGCTTCAAAGACAAACTTAAGACCGGTTTTCAACAATTTGATAACGAACAAGTTCCGTGACTCGGGTTATATTTGCAGTTGACTGCACAAAGATACTTTCTGGCACAGTTCCATCCTCTTCTCCCGTGTCTTTTGGCTTTCTGGTTGGCTCTGCTGTCAGTTCCTCCCTGTAAGAACTCCCGGCAATTGCTGATAACCTCAGCAGTGTGTATGGACTTGAAATTCTGACCACAGTTGTACACAGCGTTGTAGTTGCTCTGACAATAAAAATACCTAAGAAAAAAAGAAATGGAATTCATACAAGTTGAGAGAAATTACCGTGTTTACTTTAAAATCCTCGGTCTTTAGTTGTACTTATGTTGAGTATGTTATATTAAAGCAGTTTCGAAGCCTCGCCACGTCATTGCAGTTCATGTCGCCACATACAGTTACGCTCTTGTTACCGATCGTGCACCTTGGCAATACCTATGCAATTTAGTTTCTGTTGCGAAAGGCTTCGTCGCAAGGCTGTCACATCCAAATCACAGCCCTCCTCCATCAAGTTTTCCATAATCACCCAAGTGTTCGAGGACGACGGTTTCCCATCTCTTGTTTCAACAGTCCAATCGCCCTGAAATCGGTGACTTGAACATTATGTTTTTATATAGAATAGCATTAATACACATTTAATTTCCTAGCTACTTGAGGTATGACTGGAATCCTTATCTTGGGGAACGCATACCTGTTAGACTTGTTTTTGACAAAGATCCTTTTTGATTATATTACGTACCTTTGTCTGTGGCATGTTGATGGCTTTTCTACTGACTTTTGTGTTCGTGTATTCTCCTATGTTACAAGACACAGGTCTTTGCGTATCACAGCTGGTGTACGACTTCTTGCAAGTCGGGTTCTGTATGTTCTTGGCGTCTCAAGTCGATCCACATTCCTTTGTTTTCCAATGTCACTAAGTATAAAGAATATTCCCGTCTTGGAAATTCTAAATCATCGATGCGAGTGCATTTATATGATCTGAGTGTATAAAAAATTTGCGTTGGAAAAGACTGTCACATTCCCTTTCCAAAAGTGATCAGTTTTCAGTGGTATAACACTACCTACAAAACACCAAACAATGTCATAATGTAGGTCTAATAAATGCGTTAAACTGCGACTTTTATATTGGCTGTGGTTATCACACGATTTGTTGATTTACATATTCCAAATCCTATTAATACAATGTATTAAGTACTCTCCATATGCGGCTCTTTGATGCATAAAACACACACAGTTTCACTCATTATCCTTGGGGCTTAATACAATATTATACCATAAAAATAGATTTGTTTGTTCTTTTATCACATGATTGTGGATGATAGTGGTAGAGTGGGTTTCTTTATGGATGTTCTCCTGTGTCATGGTAGAGTGGGTTTCTTTATGGATGTTCTCCTGTGTCATGGTAGAGTGGGTTTCTTTATGGATGTTCTCCTGTGTCATGCTAGAGTGTTTTTTTACGAATATTCTTCTTTTTTTATTTACTCTGTTTTGAGTTCCTAACATTCAGGAATGTAATGGGTTGTGGTGATATTTCATATTTTGTAAAGTTTTTGTTACGTTGAGGTTTGGTGTTGGTTTATCGTTGTTTTTATGTGACTTACCTACGTTTTCGATCGTACATGATTTTTTTTTATCGTGTACAAGAACCATGATGCTCTCACCAGCTGTGTTTGAGTTTGAGCGCTATCACTTATCAGTTGTTTGGTACTTTATGGTTAATATTATTATTCATGGAGAAATATATTGAACATTTATTGGTTAAACTCTGATTATTGAGATGTTACTTGTGAAGAGCTGCTAACTAAAATGCCTTTATTGAGCTTATTTCTGAATATGATTGCCACAGATATTTTAACTTATACTCTTTAACTTCTAATATGGCTGCACTCATAAAGGTCAAATATCATTCATGATCATGAAACACATGCACCCCCAGCGGCACAGCGGTATGTCTGCGGACTTACAACGTTAGAATCCAGGTATCGATACCCGTGGTGGGCAGAGCACAGATAGACCATTGTCTAGCTTTGTGCTTAATTACAAACAAACAAACAAGCTTCTGAAACACATATAGTTTTACTCTTTAATTTAGAGGACTTAATATATATATAAGTTTCTCTAACATATCAAAAACATAAGACATAGTGCATATATGAATTTATTGAAAATCTGAAAATGAATTAATAATTTTGACAACTCAACAGGTTTACTTACCTCTCACAGTTGATACATTTTCTAGTGGTCATTTTATAGAAAATTTTAAACATCTCATTCGCAGCGCAGCGAACGTCTTTATTAAGTAAGGCTGGGAAACCCATATGTTTAAGGATACAGCTGCCAAATACCATCCACCCCATTCGACAGTCTCCGACGTCTGTGATCAGACACAATACTAAGACCACTGATAATGGAAACAGAAAAGGCATGGCGGCGTACTTCATTATGTTAGGTTTCTGCAATTCACAAAACAAATATATAATTTTTTTGTATTATTAGATACTATTATCATAATAATTTTTCTGTTCCTAAGTGCAATGCTACATAATGGGCTATCTGAGTTGTGCCCAACGTGGGTAGTAAACTCTAATTTCTACTGTCATTTTTAGCATCATAAGTCCACAAACTTACCGCCGAGTATTTTGGGGGAGGGGAGGATGATCATATTTAAGATTATTATTATTATACATGCCCCTCCCAGTGGCACAGCGGTATGTCTGCAGACTTACAACGCTAGAAACCGGGTTTCGATACCCGTGGTGAGCACAGATAGCCCATTGTGTGCTTAACTACAAACAAACAAACATTATTGTACATAATTATTCATTTGTGATTTTTGAAACAAACTTTTGTAAGAATCATCCCTAAATTATAAATAATCATATGCACGTTTTTACCTATTTTCTATTGTTTACTTTTTCGACGGTTTCCAGCATTTCAAAATTAATAGAAAATATGGAAACACAGAACTCGTGAGAGTCCAAAGTCATATACACGTCATATACAACCCGTTTTTAAAAGCCAACCTTATTTCCAGACCAAAGCGAATAGTTATCACTTCAATGCCAGTTAGCAACCACTGTGACTCAGCGGTATGTCTGCGGACTTACAACGCTAGAAACCGGGTTTCGATACCCGTAGTTGGGCAGAGCACAGATAGCCCATTGTGTAGCTTTGTGCATAATTACAAACAAACAATGCCAGTTAGCAACCACTGTTGCTCAGCGATAAGTTTGAGGGTTTATATTGCTAAAAATTTGGTTTTGATACCCGCGATTGGCAGAGCACTGATAACCCATTTGTAGCTTTACGCTTAACAACAAAGAAATAATACCAATTAGATTATTTTTAGTATTGTGTATTTTTATGCACTTATTTCTTAAGATTATCATGATTAAGTTTCCACAGAATTATGAATAGTTAAAAAAATAATTACCGAACAGATAAAATCCGCAGGGTCAAAAGAATAACGATTATCTTCGCAAAATGTCCATGTAATGTTAAGATCTCCTTCCAAACGCTCATTATATACCGACATCGCCCTCTAGTAGCAAAGTTTTTATTCGTTCTCATGATAACTTGACCTCTGAAAAGTTTACAATCTACATGGGATTTTTCAACTTTAGAAATTGTACAGAGATTTTATAAACACACACTCTTACTGAAAATTGTGGATTGAACAATTTACACCTTCTAATAAGTCATTTTTATGGTGCTTATAATATCGTTGCACAACTTGAAAAGTTGAAATTAATTAGCACAATTGCAATTAACAACATTTACGTGGGATTTTCGGGAATGTATACAAAACACATTTGTATACATTTGTGGCTGTTGACATTAGTTCTTAAAGTAAAATTTACGATAACAACATTCCACTACACTAACTACTACTTATCAGTTGCATAAGCGATGGAACGGGGTTAGCAGTGGGGGCACGTACCCCCCTAAAAATCTTGTCCTTGTAGTGAAGTTAATCTTTGAATGGGGAATACAGGATGGTGTATAATTATCAGGGAATGCGCTGTTTCAAGTTTTGAAATCAATGATCACAGTTAACATAGCAAATAAGGTTTCCCTAACAATCGGTTCACCCCCCCCCCATAAAAAAGCACACACATAAAAATTAAAATTTGTTCAGCCGTCTATGGTCATTCGTTATATTTATGAATTTCCTTTCCACGTGTAATGAATGACTGAAATAGTCATGAATTTACCTGTTCCATAACTAGTATAGAATATATATTTATTTCTGTACAGGGTTGTCCAAACAAAAGTATACCGAAGTAAGAATAATATACACTCATAACTAACCCAAAGAAAGCACACCAAACAAAACAAACATGTCCTAAAACTATTTAATTTCACCATGTGTATTGCTATGGTAACCCAAGAACATTAACCTGTACTGATTAATGCAAGTGTCATTTTGTGTTTTTCTTTTGGAAATTATACTCTTAAAATGCCACAGCTTAATGTTGAAGAAAGAATTTTTATAGTGGAATATTATTTTACGAGTATAGTATTTAGCAGAAATAACCAATCAAGTGTAAATTGTACACTTGAGCAGGAGCCGTTTGGAAGCACGTATTGAGAGTAATGGAAACCATTCTGAATATATCATTTAACGTAAGTTTATATAAAACACTAATACATGTTTAAGTAAGGCGTCTGAACCGGGAGTGCTGTAGCATCCCCACTTTTACATATTTGACTTATATAGCAACTGTAAATTATATTATTATATTAATTTTCTGGGGGACAATCCCTCATTGTAGAATCTGCATGTCTAGTCAAGCACCCCCATTTTGCAAAATCCTTCCTACACCACTGTAAGCATGGTCGTCCGCAGGGGTGGGGGAGGCAAAAGGGGGCACTTGCCCCCACCTGGAAAATGACAAACATAATTCTCTCTTTATTCATTCAGCATATGTATATGAATTTTTTATTCAATTCACAATTTCACACTAATTTGCCCCCACACACCCCACCTCACCCCCCGGGAAATTTTCTGCGGACGCCTATGACTGTAAGGTGTAAATAATAAGACTTCAAGGGTTTTGTTATTTTATGCAATAACTGAAACAGGAAGAAATGCAATTTTTATGAATATATGTTATTCATATTTCGGTGTACATTTTTGGGCAACCCTGTATATTCCCGTAGTATTCTTCTAAATTTCCATGCAGTTTCTGTATGTAGTTATTTACATTCGTGTTGACCAGGTGTCCCAAGATCTTGAGCGCGTGCAAATCCTTAACATGATAACGACTGCAACATTTGTTCGTAGGTTTTAAGTTGGCACATGCGTGTTTCAGTATAGACTTCTTGGAAGGCAGCCAATTGAAACACGTAATACAGAAACCGGAACGAGCTGATTCGGGGTAACTTGCAGTATATATATAAACTATTGGTTGAACTCTATATCCCGTAGGCTTGTGGGATACCTGTATCTTTCTCAGCTTCTTTAGAGTATTTAAGATGGATATTTACACAATTTTGTCTCCAGCTTTGCTGTGGCTATTTTTCTTGATAGGAGAAAGGTTTTTAACTCAGCATGGAACAATGTCATTGGATTATAAACTACCCTAAACTACAATTCATAAACTATATTTATGATACATATATGACTTCCTTAATAATCAATCGGTTAAAATAGAAGGAAATACAAATGACGCTTCCGGCCGGAGTGCCTCAAGGTTCTGTCGTTAGTCCTTCCTCGACTTTACATATACTTAATGTAGATGATTTAGGTTTACCATACGAAGTTCAAATCACATACAACCATCTCAGTTTAAAGATGACATTGCTGTATGCAGTTAAATATCACCAACAACAACTGTATTAAAGCCTCCTTCTGGCAACTGAACACCTACGAGAACAATTATATCAAATACAGATCTGACTTTCCAAATGGAAATCCGGTATGGTGTTATTCAAAAAATCCCCCTCCAAACAACTAAATACCAACTAGGTCAAATGCAGACTTTGTTAACATGTTAAAATCCCCTAGAATACTGCTTGTTAAAACCAAAATATCGAACTATAAAATTAGTGTACGCTCCAGCTTATAATACAGATGTTAAAACCTTTCTCAATACGTTATAACAGCATCAACCACTCAGATACACTCAAGTTAAAGAACTCAATAAATGTACAAAAATTCAATACTTTAGAGATATATTTTACAAACTATCCACAAATTATTTTAAGAAAGCAAATAACAGAAACTTACTAACCTCCTCCTGGATGGCAGAGTTTTCTCTCACCGTATGGCTTCTGTGGAACAACAACAATAGTAAAATAACACAGGCCTGCGATGGTTTTATTGTCTTGAAATTGTTACATGTTCTACAGTAATTCCTGTACGCTGAATCCGAAAATGATATTCATTTTCTCTATCACGTACAGATATTTCACTAAACTCATAACGCAATACATAAAAGAATGACCACAACACGTAGTTTTGAGACTAAAAGACGTAGAGTTCACAAACAAAATCAGGATGAATGAGGATGCATATTCCTCTGACATCAATGTTCTTCCCTTTTCTTCAGTTTGTTTGAATTTTTGTTAACAAACATAATAATAAAACATGTTCATTGTGGTAAACGAAATAATAATTTGGTTTAAGTAAGAGTTTTTCTTTTTCCCGGTAAAATTCCTGATTAAATAGGTTTCATCGAATACGTTTTTAGTTTCCGAAAGACGTTACGTAATAGAAACGATCTATTGCCGTTAGTCTGTAAGTAAAAGGTTTGAAGGTTAAGACACTTTATCGTTTGTACGTGAAACATAAATTGTTACAGTACAATATGTGTACGTTTTTATACGAGAAATAATTTGATACGAGAAAAAGTGGTATTTTGGAAATATTAGTATAAAGAGCTAAGTTTTGTAAAAAATCCTCACGTGATAGAAAAACAAAGAATATTATTTTCGAAATCAGCGTAGCTGAATTGTGGAAAATCCGTTATTAAAACCAAAACAACTTTTATGAAGTTTAGATTCACAGGCCTGTGTAATCAGCGTATTCTGACATGGAAAGCGATCATTACGATCTAGGCGCGATTAAAATACCTCTTCTGAAGTGGTATCCCCCTTGAGATGCCTGGAACCCCAAGTGACTGTGTAGATAGGGCCATCACCAAAGTGAAGTACTACCCCCTACCTGTTTCATCATTAGGACCCACGAAAATACGTAATTGATAACCAATCTATTCTAAGCATAAAGAACATATACAAGAAAGCCCGAACCATCGACTGAATGAAGACCCAGAGCCTTGAAAAGGGCTTCCAACCTACAGTATAACTACCTTCTTTCTTCTGTTTCTTTCTTGTTTCTTGCCGTACATTACCAAGAGAGACTCTCGTTCCTGAAGGTACAAGAGAGGTGAACTTTCACCTCTCCAAAATCGATCACATTTCATTCTATTCCAGTTTTGTCTCTTGGTTTTTCTTCTAATTTTGCCTTTTTTAATAATCGTATTTAAATTACTTTCTAGAACCGAAGAAAAACCCTGCTGGTTCGGGTGAAATAACACTGTGTTTGATAAATTGTGAGTGAATATTTTATTATATTATTGTTTAGTTTTTGTTATAATAAGAGTTAAAAGCAGACAGACAAAAGCAGAAGAGAGTAAAGTTCGGCGTGAAGTTAACTACCATAGAAGTGATAGGCCTAACGATTAATACTGGTCTAACGTTTAATATGTTACTGTTAGAGTAACTCTGACACTGTGACAGTAGAAAAGGAGATAATAATAATAATTCATTTCGTCAAAGCGTGGTTCTAAATTAATTGAATCAGCCTGAGTATACTTGACAAAAGGAACAGAAGATATTTTGAAGAAAGAAGCCCAAACAATTACGGTAACTCACGCTACAATTGTAAGTGAATTACACACATAATACTAGTGCAATAGAAATAGAGAAGATAGTTTGGATTGTCAACTGAACTTCTTAAGTAATTAAATAGGCCTAAGTGGACTTTTGACAAGAAGAAGAGAACTATATATATATATTGTGTTTATGTTATGCCTATAATCTCTGTAGTGTGAAGAATTTGTTGTACATACGTTTAACTTGTTCAGAATATATATATTATTCTACAAACAAGTGAAGTGCATGCTGTTCATTTATTGTTGAATTTATCGCCAACAAGTTACAGACACCTACTGTAGAATAATCCTAAGCCCAACAACAACACATTATATATTTATACTATTAAGAAGTATAAGAAAAAGCTATTTAATTAGTAATTGGCAGATAGAATATGTGGATTTGACAGTTACTATTATAACGCACCCTCACTCCTAAATTACAAAGCCCGTTTTTATGAGCACAAAATCACCAGGCTACAATTCTGTGTGTTTTAGTAAGGTTTCTAACTCTGGTACTTTCACAAACTTTAGTTACGTGACAGCTCCAGTTTGATATCTATACCGTAATGTGTATGATTTCTCTGCACGTGCTTTCTAAAGACAGGTAAGCCTTCTTCATTTCCAAATATTTCAAGACAGGTTCTGTGGGTTTTTATGCTCAGGTTACTGACATAAGTTTCCAGATTCTCGACAATTTTATTTTTAAATATAGAAATTCTCTCTAATTCACTGGGGAAATTCGCTGTCAGATTTTCGTTTCTGTGCAATCATCTGTCACACTAGAAATTATTCATTCATCCTGTCCTGTGTGTCTTAGCTAAAGCTGAAATGAACGTCATTTTAAGGTCAATGACATTCATGTCTATGTACATACAGTGTTTTTGATACAGTTTGCCAAGTCTTTCCTGTCTTCTGGAAAAGAGCCACCAAGTTGTTGTTGTTGTTTTTCGACTTTTAAATATATCATTAAAAATATATATTCACTTCTTTTGTCGGAAAATCGAACGTAAGCACGGTTTTTTGCACAGTTCAACAACATTTTCTGTAACTTTATTGTGAAATAAAATACCTGTCACCTAGCGGTCAGTAATCCACCTAAGCTTTTATCCACCAGCCATGTGTTATCGATTTTCATTTATTAGGATAGGTGTGTTGGATATGCACATGAACCGAAAATGTGTTGTTTTTTTCACTACACATTTTCTACCACATCTACACTATTTCAATTTCGATACCTCACTACTATAAAGGCTTGGTTTGGTCTGAAGTTTCATTGGTGGTAGTGTCCAGGGGGTAGTGTCATGAGGAGTGGAATTCTCCGAAACTAGTCTGGCTCACAGATACACCCCCAATGAAAGAATAGACCATTCCAAGCTTTTACTTGTTGTTAAACAAATGTTTAAACAACTCTATTCAATGATATCGTTTTTCCACAACTGATACTTGGAGAGTTGGCAATCGTAGTTTTAGGTAATATCAAAGCAACATGTGTTTCTATTAAGACGAGACTGAATTGAAATTCAGTAGGAAAATTATCGTTTTCAAGCAGGCTATTAATGAATACCTTTTATCTATTTCCAATATTCGCCCTCCGACGCCTTGTTATAGGATATCTAAAGTCCTTTGTTTTCAAGAATTTTATTTTTACATTAATATTTTACCATACAATATTTATGTTCTACCAAGATCAACACATAAATATGTGTAAATTGTTCATTCCACTGGTCATCCAAACTCCATCCAGTGGCAACAACTGCGAACTGAATAAAGAAATATGCTGTGCTGGTGTTTTGTCATCCAATGAGCGAAACTTGTTTTTTTTTTTTCGGATCTTCCTACAATGTTTCATCCCCACTAGCACAAGATATCTGTGGGATTCAAAACTCCGACCACTCATGATGCACAGAGGCTTCAAACTCCTCCATCAGCCCAATCCCAACGGAGGAGGTAGGGGGGGAGGTCTATACCGGAACTAATCCGGCTAGTATACCCGTCCGTGTATATGAGCACATCTATCAAGTTTGGCCTTATTAACTTCTGAGTGGGGTACGAACACAATTTCAAACATGACTCCCCCGGAATCTTGAGGGGGACCAGAAAAACATAATCCAATGTTATATTCGGGTTCAGCAATCTGAAAACTTATCATCATATGCCCATCATGCCCTGGTGACCTTCTGGAGTTTTTTTTTTTCTACTTTTCCTTGTTACCCCGTTGGTAAGGGGGATATGTCATATGGATAAGAACACTCTCTGCACCATCTCAAGTCTGCCCGCCAAGTTTAGCCCTAGAACTATGGGAGGAATTAGCTAGACATACATACAAATAAAGCTACAAGCTGAATTAGTATAAGATAACAGTGGAAGTCTCTATGTTAAAATGCATATGATTATTTAAGCAAAACCAGCACTATGGCAAGGGGAGAAAAAACAAACAAACAAAATATAC